ATTGGCTTAGAATCAGGGGTTTTGGGGGTGGGGGGTAGTATTTTGCCTTGTACCTTCTGAGCCCCTAGGGAGCATTTAGGTTACCTTTACCAGCTCCTTCCTAAAGCCATGGAAGCCAGAAATTTACTTTTAAAACATGAAAGCCGAGACTTATCGTGAGTCCTATCGTATGAACCTCAAGGAGCTGGGGCTCTAAGAACACCACTAAATATCGTGAGTGTCGGTAACCTGCATGAGAGCAACAGAAGCTGGAACTTAATGAGGTTTGTTTAGCAATTCTGGAAAGCAGAGATACCCTGCAAGTACAGCCTGCTAATCCAGCATCGCCCACTCCAGCCATCCAAATCGCACGAGAAAGGTGCGCACATTTATGAAGCTGGCTTCTAAACAAGCAAAATAATAAATGTACAGCTCTTTATACTCACTCTCTGGCTTGAAGGGGTCCTGTTTCCCAGCTCTGCTCTGTAGCTGTGGGTCTAGAAACATGTTTTCCTTTTGGAACATTAATATTCTGCTATAATTGCAGGACTCCGGAAGCTAAGGTTTGAAGCCACGCACCGTGAGAATAGGCAACTGTGGATATACTACAGTCTGCAATATGGAATCTGACCTTCATGAATGAGGGCAACCCCTGGGACCCCTGCAGCTATACCTTGTGTCCTAACACAACCGGGGCAGTCCCAAAAGCGAGGGGCAACTGGCTGGGAGGCCTATATGGTGCTTCTACTCTTAGGCCAAGAAGAAACTGGGCGAACAAGGAGCAAGAGGCCAAGTCGCTGAAACACATGCCTTGCCCTTGTCTCTTTTGTGGGGGGTGTCGTGGGAAAGAGGTTGCTATTGTTTCACCTACCTGACTGCATAAAGAAGCTTAATAGTTTCTCTAAATCTTTATTGAAAGTGTGGGGCAGTTAGAGGTTGGTTTAATATTCTTAACAATTATAAATCTATAATATTTTATTTTAAACAAGACAGGCGACATTTAGGTTGGAGATTAGGAAGACCTTTCTGACTATGAGAATGGTCAAGCAGCTGAACAGGCGACCTAGAGTAGTTTTGGAATCTCCCCCCCACCGGAAATGGTCAAGGGCAGGTTAGACAGACATTTGGCTGGGATGGTAGAGAAGTAGTCAGCTGTGTTAGTCTGAAGTCAGTCAAAAGGCACCTTTATAGACTCACTAACTAAGATATGCACATAAATAGAGAGTGCGCTAGCTTTCATGAACCCAAGTTCACTTCCGCAGAGGCTGTCCGGAATGGTTTAGTCAGGAACCATCCTGCCTTGAGCAGGGAGCTGGACTAGATGGCCGCATGGCGTCCCTTCTTCCAGCCCTACTTTCCTATGATCCCACCTCCCCATGGCTCACTCAGCTCTGCCCTCTGCGCAGCCAAAATAGGAGACCATCCTTCTCGCCTCCCCTCATTGAACGGCATCTCTGTTGCATGCTGAAGGTGACTGCGATGCTGAGAAGGGGCTGCTGCCCTGACTGAGAGCCTGTCTCAAAGCTCATCAGCACACCAGGGGCTCTGTTGCATCAAAGACTAACAACAGGGGATAAAAGACACTGGCAGGCGGTATTAGAGCGACACAAGAAACCTGGCTAGCAGCAGGGTGCGTAGTCTTCGCGAGGGGGTTTGCCGGCAAACAGATGTATATCCATGACCTGTCAAAACAAGCGAGGACATGGCTCTGCCTTCTCTATTCACACTGCTTCTGATCCTGTTCCACCAAGGTCCACAGAAACTTTGCCAGTGACCTCAGGAGGTGAAGGATGAGGCATACAGCCTTGTACAGCCAGCGGCACCACCATTCTGCCAGAGACACCCAGCTCCCATCAGCTCAGCCTCCAGCTCCCAGCTGCTCCTACTTTCCTCCAGTCCCTTTCTCCTTGACCATCTCACTGCCCATTTTCCAGGCCACAGAGCTGGGTCCTGGGTAGTGTAACTATCTGAATGCCACGGCAGCCCAGCCAGCGAACAAGGGACACAGGAATACGCATGATCTACTGCACAGGGCTTTACCGCTTCAAAGCGCAGTGCAATGCCCTCGGGAATGAAGTGTTAGCACTCCTGTTGTACAGACAAGGAATCAGAGCCACACAGATGTTAAGGCCCAGGCTTCTGAAAACAGATACTGATTTTAGCTGGCTCGTCGTGGGGTGTCCAACTTGGAACCCCCTGGGCACGATTAGCAAAGGAGATGGCCCCAGGGCTTGCCGTGATTTCACCCCAGGCTCTGAAGAAAACCTCAGCATGGGTGACATGCCCAGGATGACAGATGACAGCACAGCCAGGACCAGAACCTGGGAGCCTCCCTTCCTGGTCCCTGCTTTAACCGTCCCCGCACGCCCCTTCTGAGCACTGCTTGCTAGACACCTGTGCACGGACCCAGGATGGTGGTGCTTTCTTCCCACTGTGAACCCTCTGCCCTAAGCCTTTAAGCCCCTTTCCAAAATGGAGACTGCATCTTCCTTGTGTCAGGGAGGGAGAGTTACAGTCTGGCAGGTGCTGAAAGAAGCCAGTGGAAACTCCAAATTCCTCACTTTCCTCATCACGGCCCCCCACCAAGCCTTTAAAGAGCCTCTTTAGAGCTGTTACAAAGTCAGTGCAAAAGGCAGATACTGCTGCTGAGTTAATCTCATGCTTCCTTGGAAAACAGCAGCAGCTTCGCGCCGGCTCTGCTGGGACCTGACAGGGTGTCAGCAGGGCTACTAAGGCTTATGGCACTGTGGTAGCAACTGCAACACCAGTGAGCTCAGCTCAGGTTGGGCAAGAGCTCTATTAACCAGCTGACGCAGCAGAGGGAAGTGACTTTTGCCCATGTTTTAGGACAGCCAGTTGGGGTCAACAGTGAGCGATGCAAAGTGCTGGATCCCGGAAGCCAAAGCAAGCATCATCCGCTCGGCTCCTTTCTCCGAACGGCCTGGAGTGCAAGCGCTAGACTGGCTCTTGGATTAAGATCCTCCGTGCATTGACGCTTGATTGTCAAACCAGGGCTTGGTCTGGTGCTTTGAAGTCTCCAACTGAGAGGGCCTCTTCCCTTCCCTAAATAGCTCCTGGATTCTAATTTCTCAAGAGCAGGTTTTGCTCCTGCTTTTGGAGAGCGAGTTTGGGACTCCTGAAGCCTTCCCCACCCATCCGCCTCTAACTTCCAGCACCTTCCCGCAAGCGGGAACGTGCCTGCCCATCGGAGAGAAACAAAAATGTGCAGCCTCGGCAGAACGTGCAAGCCCTCTGCCGGCCCAGGGAGCCGGCCAAGCCCTTGCCAATGGCCATCTTGGCTGCGCTGCGCGCCGGATCCCTCGCAGACGTAGAGGGGCTTCTCGCAGACAGCTCAGATATTCGCTTTGCTTTGTAAACACTCCTCAGCCCTGTGCGCTTTACGCTGGCAAGCAGCCCGGGGAACGCTGTGCGGAGCCGTGCCGAATGGGGCTCGCCTTTCCCCGTGCGAGATTAACACTTGAGGGTGGAGTTCCTCTTCTGAGCCTCATCTCAACAAACCGAAGAAGGGGCCTGCATTCCCCGCTGCTTCTTCAATGAGGCTTTAATGGGAGCTTGGTGGTTATGGCCTCCTGAAGGGGAACTAGCTGTGGAGACAGCCTGGCTGGCCCCCGCACGGGCACCTCTCCAAGCTGCATCCACACACCACTGCCAGCGCCCCTCCATCCTGACCTGTGGCCCTGTTCCCCCAGGGCTGAGCCTCCGCACAGCTCTGCCAGCGAGGAACAGCAGCGCGACCTGCTATTGCCTCAGGCTTTGCCAGTGCACCTGAATCTCCTGGCTAGTAATCCGGCTGGTTCACCCTCCTCAAACATACCCCTGCCCTTCCTGCTCACCAGCACCGCAGGCCGGATCTGCACCGCACCCTTTCATGCCTGTGCTGAATCCACTGCAGCTCGGCTCATGCCCTGATGTTCTCACCTACAGCCTTTCCATTTGTTCCAGTCCTGAGGTGCTGCAAACTAGGGATGACTTGCTGAGATTGAAAGCCATCTTCCAGGGGTTGAACTGAGAACAATCCAACCCATTGCATCTGTGACTTGAGGGACATAGTAATGTCTGGTCTGGTTAACCACAGGCACTGTGTAATGGGCTCTATGGGGGGTTGTGAATAGCAGGGGGGTGCTCTGGTCCCGAAAGATCTTGCACTCATCCTTTTCAGGTGCCAGGCTCTGCTGTCTGGCAGTAACTGAGTGCTTCTGTGCTTTCCTCAAAGAGATGAGCAATGCTCACTCATGCCTGGCTTTTCTCAGCCCGAAGTGTTGCTAGTGCCAGTCTGGGCTCTGGGGTATGAGGCCCTGCTATTTCCCCGTGAGCCATTTCACATCAGTATGACCGTACTGGGGTTTCCCAACTGCCGAGGCTCTTACAGAGCACTGGGGCAGCTCATGCCCTCTCTGGAAAAATACTTTGAGAGAAGGCACGAAGAATTTAGTGCATCTCCCTGAGACCCTCATAATTCATCTTTGCCTATTTCCTGCAAAGCAAATCCTTAGCAAACCACTCTTACCTGCACAGAGCACACACTGTTTTCATATTTCTCTGCTGAGCACCCAAAATTACCACTGGATTGCTCCTGCCTTACCCAGGAAGTACAATGCCGCCTGGGAGCAAACAATTCTAACTCCTTTCAGGCCCCAGAGCAAAACCCTGGGGGTTTTCTTTTTAATTCACTGCCCTTTCCTCCACAGATCAGGACATCTGGTTGTGAAACAAACTTCAGAGAGAGAGACCATGGACAGTCCCTCAGTAGTACTTAGATAACTCTGCCCTCCCCTCCCCACCCCTCCCAACAAACATTTCTGCCCACAAAAGCCAGGAGCAATCCCTCTATCCCATCTGAGCCTTCCCTTGCCCTGCACCCCAGAAACAGAGAACAAGATAAGTCTGAACCAAACCGCTGACTTAACAGTTTGAGCTCTCCCAAGTAAACTCCAACCCCCTGTCCTCTCCAGGTGCACTAAAAGACAAGCAAGAAAGATGCTGATCACCTATACGCTTACTTTGCAGAAGCAAAAGCTGCCACAGGAGGAGTTTTGCAAGTTGCTCCATTCTTCAGCCTCTGTGCGTTTCTCTCTCTCCCGAAAACAAGTCGTCAAAGTCTTCTTTTTTCTTTCTTTTTTTTTTTTTTTTTTTTTTTTTTTTTAAAAAAAATA